TTATTTATAACAATTATTTTTCATAAAAGAAAGTAAGTATGGATTAATATATTAAAAATTATTATAATTTGCATAAAATGTTAGACAATAATATGACTAACACAAACTAAAGTAACGAGGAACCTGACCTCGTATAGCGGAAGCTTCAGGATTCCCGAATGTCTCTAGCCATAGTTGTTGGTATTGCCTTTGGGATGGTAAACCTGTAGAACAGACATAGTGTTTTGTCTACCACTTCTCTCCCGAATACTTGATGTGTGTGTATTCTGAACACAGGAGCTGTGGGAGGACTATTTTGCTTAGAAGCCTACATGCCATCAATATAGGCAGATATTCAGTTTAAGCTAAACTGAATATCCTTAGTTATCTAACATATTAAGTCACCAATTGACTTAATCTCCTACTTGCACCACAGCCACCCAATAATACAATATATTATAATATATTGTATTTAGGGAAAATACTTACATTCTCCCCCTTGTACAAGTACATGCACAACCTTCATTAAAGAACTGTAATTTTGCATTTTCTGATCAATTTAAGAATATTAATAGGATTAACCGACTGATGAAATAGTCTGACAGATCCAGTGATGATATCGGTCAGATAGTTGAATCACTGATTAGATCGCGGAAAGAGTAAATTAAGGCAGACAGCGAAAAGAACAACACACAAGATGTTTATCCAGTTCGATACAGTGTGTATCTACATCTGGGGGACGATCACATAGGCGTCCAATCCACTAACAGATAATTCAATGTACAAAGGTAGAGAACAATAATCTCACCTGAGTGCCCCACACAAGGTACATACCCAGTCTACACTGATTTAGTGGATTGTTGAAGATGGAGAGCCGTGCATACAGAAGTCCAATGAAATCCCTTCACTTGGAGAGCTAACTCTAATGTAGTCCACTTCAATGACGCTGTTCAATGTTGTTCCCACAACCGTGTGATCTTAGCGTCCTTTTCGTTTAAGCAACGATATCTCTTCTCAAGTTCTTCATCATAATCAACAAGAACAAATTGTCTTGAGAAGAGGCATGATAATCAAAGATGTGGTCTCTTAGTATACGTCGGAGTGTTTCGTTCTTCTCAAAAGCGTAACCCTAATTCTTGATCGAATAAGAGTACTTATAGTTCCATAATAAGAACGATCTCCATAGATATCTCTGATTGTAGATGGTAGGACGATATAAGAAGAATGTAATCTTAAAGATCCGGTCCATACCTTTCCAAGACAGATACGCTGATCTTCTTTCCAAAAACTGACTTCTTAAACCGCGTTCTGTAAAACGGAAACATCTTCTTAAAACATATCTTCAGTGTCAGTCCCTCTGTTGCTGTATATGATCAATCAGTTCTCTGTAAAACAAGCCGACACCAAGCTAACCCTATCTTAGTTTGCCATAATAATATTGCCAATTATATGTTGGGGTTTTTTGAGCAAATTAAAACACTAACAAGAACAAAACACATGAACCATAGTAATACGTCTTCTACTAATCAAGTGAGTAATATCTTCTATGATCACATGCATTTAAATTCTCTAACTTAGGTTCTTTATGAACAAACCCTACGTTTATTCTTAGCCCCTTAATTGTTGTTTCTCAAAATATATTATGTGCACAACTGAACGAAGAAACCATCCAAATTCACTATATGATCTCCAAAATCTTAGAAGCATGTCTTAAGTAGAGATCTCTTAATGTTAGCATAATGCTAACTATATTCTATGACTTCTTTATAAGTTAACATAAACACAACCTCTAATGGCTAAGAGCTTGGAGTTGACACATTCCAATAACTTAGACAACAAACCAAAAAAGTCTAAGTCCATAAATTTGGAATCTTAAACATAAACCAACTTCCCAAATAATCTCAAGGTCCACCTCGAAATTAATTGAACATTACGAGTCTTACTTATTATGTCTTGCAAAATTGTTTTAAGCCTTACAAACCAAAATTGACCCAGGATCAATTTTGAAGAAACTAAAGACTCTATTAATTACTAAAGAATTTATTAATTGGAGTGCACCACAAGTTAAATTCTTTCGTTCTAATAAATTCATTAATATTGTTGCAACATTTTCATAAATATGTTGTACAACCAAACGTTCAATGAAATGAACTTATGAATTATAAGAACAAAAAACTAAATTAATACTTGTGGAAACTTTCGGACTTATTGCTAGACGCACAATCCAATTTGGAATGTATGAAAACAATTAAATCCATCAGCTTTAGGGGAGTATTTAATGATCTCTTTCTAAATGATCGCTCCCACTGATTAAGATATTCTTTAGCCAAATTAATTATATAACACTCATAATTGATTTGACCAACTAAATAATGAAGATATAATTCCCCACCATTAGTTGGACATACTAAATAATCAATATTTGGTTCCAATTATAGTCAACCTAAATAAATAATTAATGAGGACATGATTCTCCACCATAGTTGGACATACTAAAATAATAAAATACGCCTTCCAAAACCAAGTTGGAATCTGGCTCAAAAGGATACATTTTATTATTGGAATCCAAAAGAGATATATCATACCACGCAACTTACTATAGTTAGTCCAAATAACCAAGTAAGCTTCGTGAAAAATAATCAATAAAAGGTGTATCTAAATTTTAGAAAGTGACTAAATACATGTTTTGCCAATGCAAACCATGAAACTTAGAATTATAATTGAACTAAAATTTATAAATTATAAGAAATTGGGATAAAGTTATTATCTAATGGGTTGATGAATTTATTGACATAAAACTTGCATGTGGGCTAAAGTTTTAAATCTATTAAATTCAATTAAACACTTATGATAGTATTTTATCTCAATTACTAAATAGTCAGAAGAATCTAGTGACATAAAACTTGCCTGTGGGCTAAAGTTCCACTCAATTAGATGCAACTGAAATTTTATGATGAAACAATTATCAAATGAGTTGAAGAATCTCGTGACATAAAACTTGCCTGTGCAGTGGGCTAAAGTTTTAATTCAATTAGATTCATTACAACCATTATGACAAAAAATTTAAGAGATCACGTTCCTTATCTTAATCCCTGTGGGCAAATTAAGATATATGACCTAAAGCTTACATCACAAAATTAAGCATCATGATAGAGATGAGAATTAGTCATAAAGTAGATAAAATTCTTTATTCCTATCATCAATGGTAAAACTACTAAACTACATTCCGATACATAAATGCCTGTAGGCTAAATTATGATCATAGTTCAGTATTTCATCCTAATTAGTCATACAAATATAATCAAATTGCATGTGGGATAAATTCAATCATATTATATACAATTAATCACAATTGATATGTCTAAAACTTTATGTGACCCTAACAACTCAATATATAATTTTAACTGATTAAGGATGTTGTGGCTACTCCACAACTAATTAAAATTATAAGATCACTAGACATTTATCAAATTTTATGTGACCCAACAACTCAATATATAATTTTAACTGATTAAGGATGTTGTGGTTACTCCCCAACTAATTAAAATTATAGGATCACTAGGCATTTATCATTGCATCTTTATGTGATTTGAACTTTAGACAATTTTAAGTAAATTAAAGATGATGTGGCTACTCTTTAATTAATCTAGAAATTGTAATCACTTGACAAAAGGGAAAGTTAAAGCCTAACAAACGAATTAAACTAACACATGATAGACAATTATTAGGTATACTCCCAGGAAAGTTGGTCAAGACGAAGCTCGGTTAAATACCAACTCCTTGACAGAGTAGCATCGCAAGAGGACTAGTAGCAACAAGGCTTTTAAGCCAGGGCCATAGAACTAGTATTCCTCCCCAAGAAACTTCCCTAACCCATGTGTTCTCATGTTTGAAGTAAAATCGTTTGGGAGATCTATAAAATTGTAGATTCACTTATGGATAAGGCTTTAAATCGATGATGCTTTAAATCGATTAACTAAACGTGCTTAAATTCAAGCACAACCGCAATTAATTTTATGCATAAAGTTCAACTTAATAAGGAATTAAATCCTTTCTCAAACTAGCTTTCTAAAGGCATAATAAATCGCATAATCTAAAATAAAATATTATGCTTAAAACAGATATGCATAAAATTAAATAATAAACTCATATATTCCAAATAAATTGTATAACTGAAAATAATTTTAATATGAGCAATAACTTCAAGTATACAATTAATACTAAAAACTAGTATGACTTCTAACCAAAAGAAATCCAAAATTTGAATAATAATATAATAAATATATACTTTGAAAGGTTAAAGACTATAAGCCCACGTGAAAATGTTTTAATTGCATAAAATTAAATTTGTGAGAACCAGGCTGAAGTCACAAATATCAAGCCATAGTATATGTTTTATTCGTAAATAAAAATCTCACAAATCCTAATTGCGTAATTAAACTTAATGTTATGCACTTAATGTGATTAAAGGCATAAAACAATCTAAAGAGTATGAAAAACACCAAATGTGTATTCAATTATTCATACTTGACTAAATGTGGGCAATAACATCTAAAAACATAATTCAAATACTAAATAAATTCTGGGATAGATGTATAATAATGCCTAGAAAACATGTTTTTCCAAAAATCTGAATTGATTAAAAAATTACTCTCAAAAACTCAATTAATAGTATTATTAATGGCATAAAATTGCAAATAAACCAAAAAAGCAATAAATAGCGATAATAATATTATTATGTTAATTTGGAGACTAAATATGAAAAAACAATAGTTAAAACTGTTAACCTTTAAAACATTTTTGGACATAAATTCAAAATTTAATAAAACTTTCCAAAAATAAATGCCACATAAATCAATTTGGAAATAATTCATGTCTTAATACCATAAAAATAATGTTATCATTAATTAAAATATTAATAGAAATAAAGAGCATTATAATCACTATGAACATTTTAATAATGACAAACATGGTAATACATATCTTAATGTTTCCATATTCTTAAGGATAAATGTGACTAGTTCAAAATGGTTAACAGCTATAACAGTAGTTACCAATGATGCAAACTGCATCTATCGATAACACTAACCTCGATAGCAAAGAAAGCTTCCAAAATCTCCCACCTTCGTGGAGAGTTTAGTTGACTCGTCGATGTTAGTAATCTCAATGAATCGCCAACGGTACGCAATAGTTTAATGGTAACACTTAATTACCATTATTAATAATAATGGAAAAAAGAAGTGACATGGATAATCTTACCAATGTACCAAATATAGTAGATTACCATGAATGAATAATTATTATGAAAGATAATAAATGAGATTAGCCCCTAAACTTAATTACATTAATTAATAATATGTGGATTTTTCAAGTATTTTCAAGCTCAATAGAGTTGTAAACTAGCACAGTAGCCCTACTAAGTTAAAATGATGACCAACTTTTATTCCTTCACCTGCATGCATGGTTGCTTGAATTGAGAAAACCTCTGATCTCCCATCTTAGACTGCTTTATGTATTTATAAATAGATTCCAGTGCTTCCGTTTAAGTAATTTTGTTATTTTCTAAATTGGTCGAAATAATTAAGATTTTCCCTATCATCATGTGTTATCTTTTAAATTCATTTACTATTTTTCTAAATTGATTTACTATTTAATATTTAATTAACATATATTTAACACGAGTTTTTTTGTCTGAAAAAATAAAGTACAACATTTTTAATATGATGTACAACTTTTTTTCTAACAAAATATATTTTATTAATCAAAGGAATTAGAAGGACTTACAAAAGATGGCCCAAAAGTGACCATAAACCATACTTAGCCATTTAGATTGGGCCCATACTAATCTAAAGAAATCTAAATAAAGAACGGACCCAAAAACCCCAATAACAGGTCAGGTCTAAAGAATGAAAGAAATAAAATAAAAGAATTGACCCAAACTGATAAGTGCTAATTCTTAGTACTTTTATGTGCATAATTGATATCAAACTCATATGTTTTCATGTTAATTGGAAGCTAAGTATGTGCGTATTTGATTCCTTTGTGTCGTTTAGGTTATTTGGAGGCATTGGTTGTAACTTCATGTAAATTGGAGCTCAATTGGTTGTGTTTTGAAGTCATCTTGATAGAAAGGCAAGTTCCGGGAGTCATTAGAGGTCAAGAAAATGAAATAAAGCGAGTGGAAGTATCATGACATGACCCGGGGACCCAAAGGAACAAAGGAGATGAAGAAATATGCATTTCGAAGTGAAAAACATGGGTCATGTTGGTGGTCACGCCGTGATTGCCAGCGTGACACCATTCTGCTTTGTACTTTTATCTGTCAGGCGAAGTCTCGGTAATTTGAGCATATCTCGAGCTAGTTTTGTCTAAATGGCGTGATTCAAGTGGCATTAGAAAGGAAACTCAGAGAGCTACAACTTTCATGAAAACCACAAAGGCTAGTTCGGACGTTTACAATGTGAAAAATGGTCTAGAAACCAGAGATACTGTGCAGAGATGCTGGTCACGGTGGCGGTCACGATATGACGTTGACCGTGACCAGCAGATACCTGCGAGGCTTAGGCCTAGTCACGATGAAGGTCACGCCGTGACCTCCATCGTGACTAGGCATTCTAGAAGCAGTTAAAAGGACGCGATTCCAAAAGTATAAAGTATCTTTAGGCATTATTTTCATCTTCTTTCAATTTCCAATCTCCCTCTACACCTTCTCTCCATCCAAACCCTTTAGAACAAAAAATCCATTGTATTCCATCATATTTTGGAGAAGATTTAGAGGGAGATTAACGTATATGTAATTGTAACTTTCACTTTTAGTTTCAGATTTACATTCTACAAGTTCTATCAAGTTAAGTTCTCAATTTCTTACTTTTACATTTCACATAATTAGTAGTTTGAATTTATTGTTCATTACTTTAATTGCTTTGAGTTTATCTATTTCATTATGAGTAGTTAAACTAGTTACGGATTTAGATTGAATTGCTTTGTATGAATGTCAACATGAATTGAATTGGAAAACCTGTGGCTCGCAATATCTTTAGATTGAATTTGATTGTGAATTTGGTAAAATGTTTTGACTCTTGCTTGGTTAGGCCCCAACTTTGTAAGGGGATTTTGGATTTGGTGCTTCACCTACGAGAATAGAGATTCACCATAGCCAAACCTATCACAATTCTAACTCACTCTTGAGAAAGGGGAGTTGGAAGGGATAAAGCACACAAGGTATTTGATTAATTGCCTTATCTAGTCTATTTGCCATGAGAATGGAATTAGAACTTAGGTGATAGCCCAATGACCATGAGAATGGCATTGGCACTTGCTAAACGCCTTCACTTTTATTATTGATCTTTGTTTGCCTTAGAATTTAGAACACTAAGAAGCATTTGTACATTGCTATTTAATCTAAGTCCTCTCTTTAATCTAAGTCCTCTCTTTTATCCATGACTATTACTTAGAAATTTATTTATTTTCTTATTGTCTCTATGCAAACAAACATTTGAATTTGGTTAGCTTTCAAACACATAATGATATTGTGTTTAACCCCTCTCTACTCAATTCCTTTATAGCTATTCCTAGAGGACGACACTCACTAAAACATCACCACTAAAATCAACTTTCAGAAACCCAAATAATAGGATAGCGGCAGCATTCCATATGTTTCTCAGACTAGAATGTACTGTTGCGCCACCATGTCGCATCACCTCAAAGTTGCAATGCCGCGACTCTGCACCACAATGCAACGATGCCACAGTGCCAACACGGCCGTAACGCTCCAAGCCAACATCTCGCCAAAGCTATCGGCTGGCCAAAACCTCCAAGAAAGTTAGCCTATTTTGTAAGACATCCGGCAGCATAATGGCTGTTTCTGGGATATCACACAAAGACAGAAATACACAACAACAGCTCCCCAAAATGGATCTCCCCCTCAGGGTTGCCTGTCCCGTTGAACGCGAGCATCACCACGTATTCAAAATCTCTTTGTGTGCGATATTCTTGGATTTATATGGAGAATGGGTTGGTGGACAGCGGAGATCGAGTGGTCGGTCAGTCCTTTCTACCGTTAGTCTCCATCTGAAAGTCGGGGGTCTCACCAGAACTTTATACCAGGCAATCTAGAGAGCATTTTCTATTACGCTCCTCCCCTTATGATTCCTGAGCGCGGATGCTATTTGAGCGGCTTTCGCTCGCCATTGGGGGTTGAGCGTTGTTTTCCATCGCGGCCGTTCAACTTTTGGATTGTCTTGTCCCAGTCGTCCGGTGGGGGGTCGTTGGCCTGAAAGTCTTAGGCAGTTAAGGATTGAGACCGTGCAACGATGTTCTCTGCGTGAGTCCAATTCCTGCATTTTCTCGGGTGGTTGGTCCCTGTTGTATGCTCTGTTCGAATGATATTGACGAGGGAGGTCCAGGGCGACTCGCCTCTCAGTATGCAGTCGTGCTGCAAGACTCCTATGAGATGCTCAACGGCCTCTACTATTGTAAGAGGAAGTTCGACCGGCTGGGTCTGTGGGACGCTAGTAACCGGTGGGCGTGTGTTCGGATGGATCTCCCCCTCTTCTCAATGATTCTCCAGATTGACACCATCCATTAGGAGCACTGACCGATTGGGTAGCATGCGAGAGGTAGGCTGGTTGAGAGTTTCTTGCAGATCTCGAATGGGTCGGCCAGTGCGGGTGCCACGTTGAGTGCTCCCCATGATTAGGGTTTTGATCGTGTGTTTTAGGTTTGAGGAACGAACGTTAACTTTTCGTATCGAACCCCACAGATGGCGCAAATGTTGGTTTTATGACTCTTGGACAGTCAACGGCAGGCCAACACTACCGTTGGAATCAACGAGAATATAGGAAAATATATGGCGAAAATGTAGTAATGTTGTATTGATGAGTATTGCTCTGTGAATCTTGAAAGTTGTCCTTTCTCCTCTATTGGAGGGGTCTATTTATACATAACTTGGGCCGAAGAGCCCTATAAGAAATAAGAATCCTAGACGACCTCATATCGGGAATCTGTGTTACATTGGGAATAATAAGACCTAATTCTACTATAGAAGAAATAATGAGTCCAATTCTGGTTATATTGGGAATAATAGGCCCAATCCTTAACAAACTCTTGAGTTGCTCCGCATCGTATATCTTTCTTGGGCTTTCTTTATCCCGTCGCTTCCTTGGGCCAGTCCCTTTAGCGCAGGCCTAGTATGCTATCCATCAATAGTAATAATAATTGGCTAATAGGATGATTCCGCGTTTTTGTGTTGTTATTAAGGCTGATCATACGTTTTGTATTAAAGATTGATTTAATTACGGTTGATTTAATTTAAATAATTTAATTAAGGATGATTGAATTTAATTTAGGATGATTTAATTTAATTAAGGATGATTATTTGTAATACTAAATATATAGGATTATTTAATTTAAATGATTTTTATTTAAGGATGATTTAATTTAATTAAGGATGATCTAATTTAATTAAGAATGATTATTCGTAATACTAAATATATAGGCTGAATTTAATATAAATAATTTAATTAAGGATGATTTAATTTAATTAAGGATGATGATTTGTAATACTAAATATATATAGGGTGATTTAATTTAAATAATTTAATTTAATTAAAATACTATACTATAGTAACGAATTATTATTATTACTATATTAATAATAATAATAATAATAATAATAATAATAATAATAATAATAATAATAATAATAATAATAACCTAAATGCTCTGTCGGGTCGGGGTGTGGGGGCCCTTAGGGTTGGGGTTCAGCCTTGGAAGAAGAAGAAGAAGAAGAAGAAGAAGAAGAAGAAGAAGAAGAAGAATAATAATAATAATAATAATAATAATAATAATAATAATAAGAATAATAATAATAATAATAATAATAATAATAATAATAACCAATATTATATTCTTCTTTTACTTAACATGTTAAATTACATGAATTTATTTATAAATTCGCTAATTCGTTATTACAGTATAGTATTATATTATTATAATAATTATTATTATTACTATTATAATAATAATAATAATAA